CCCTGGGGTCAGTTTGGAGGGTTGAATATTACTATGAAAATTATCTTTTACAGTTCTTATCTATGGTTTGATTTATGAGTCACTATCTGAATGTTTGTTATCAGCTTTCACAAGCGTGTAGACTGTGGGATGGCCCAAGATCAACCGCTGACACTGTGCTCTGCAGGTCACGGCCATCACTGGTGTGCAGAGGTGGTCACAGTGCTGTACAGGGAGGAATACCCAAATCTGGGCAGCATGGCCCAGAGCCATACCTTGCTGGCTGAACCTCGAAATGACACCGTCCCTCCTGTATTTTCCAGGGTGAATCAGTACCAGCTGCATTTGTACACTGAAGCACAACGGAAGAAGTACGAGCGGAACAAAATTCAGCAGAAGATCCAAGAATTCAAGCGCTTCATTGAGAATTACCGGCGCCATATCATCTGTGTGGTCCTCTTCTCTGCCATCACTGCTGGCGTCTTCGTGGAGCGAGCCTACTGTGAGTGCCCATCCAGCCCTGCTGTCCCAGATTCAGAGGGGTGTGTGGGCTTGGCTCCTCAAAGCTGCTGGTTGCATGGGGTGTGCTGGGGTGTGAAAGTTCCTGGCACAACTTTGGGAAACAGTGTTAGTCCTCCCCTGAAATAACCAAAGGACTACTGAAGTTGGAAGGGACCTGTGGAGGGGCCTGGTCCAATGCCCTGCTCAGAGCAAGGCCAATTTCAAAGCTGAATCAGGCTGCGGAAGGCCTTGCCTAGAGAAGGTTTGAAGAGTTCCAAGGTTGGAGATCCTACCAGCTCGTTGAGCCTGTGCTGGTTTTTGACTGTCCTCCCTTTGAAGAGTTTTTCTTTTCCAACAAACCTGAATTTCCTTCAGTGAAGGTCGTGCTGTTGCCTTTCATCGTTTCACTGTGCATCTCTGAGAAAGTATTTGGCTCTCTTCCCTCTGTAACACCTATTGCAGACAGCCACAAAATCTTCCCTGACCCATCTTCTCCAGCCTGAACAAGGCCATTTCCCTCAGCCCTTCCCCTACATGACATCCTCCAGCTCCCACCCATCCTGCAAGCCTCTACTGGATTCATTCCAGTTTGTTGACGCCTCTTATATTGGGATGCCCAACTGAGGAGACAACACAAAGGTGCAGTTTCACAGTGCCCAGCAGAGGAGGACAATCCCCTCCCCTGATCTCCAAGGAGACCCTGTCACCCAGCAGCTCGGGGGGGTCTGACACAGAGAATAGTGTCCCTGTACCCACACAGCCCCATCCCTGGTGACCTTTTCTTGGTGGAGCCACGCAGGTGGCTGTCCCCTTGTTGCAGGAACAGTCATGGCCCTCAGCACCAGGCACACTGATGCCCCCTCCACTCTCTCCCCCCAGACTATGCCTTCGCATCCCCCAGCACTGGAATCGCACAGACCACCTTTGTGGGGATCATCATCTCCCGGGGATCAGCTGCCTGCATCTCCTTCATGTACTCCTATATCTTGCTTACCATGTGCCGCAACCTCATCACCGTCCTGCGGGAGACCTTCCTCAATCACTACATCCCCTTCGATGCCGCCGTGGACTTCCACCGCTGGGTTGCCATGGCAGCCCTGATTTTCTCAGGTAGGTGGGCTGCTGGGGGATGTGCCGCCCACAAACCACAGCTAAAGCAGGAGGACCAGCCCATCATGGCACAGCAGAACCCAGCAGAAGCTTGCAGACCCATGTGGAGCCTGCAGAGACATAGGCGCTTTGCACCAGAGAAGAGGAGGAATCGCTGGCTCCCTGGGCACATCAGCAGGGTTTGCTGCATCTCCCCCTGCAGCAACAGTGATGCTTTGCTGTCCCGGTTTCTGTCTCTTACAGTGCTCCACACTGCAGGCCACGTAGTGAATGTCTACATCTTCTCAGTCATGCCTCTAAGCGTATTGTCCTGTCTCTTTTCCAATGTCTTTACAAATGATGGGTAGGTGAAATTTAAAGCACAGTCCAGACAGAGTGTCCTGGGCATGGATAGGAGTAAAAGCGGGAACCAGGAGTTTGCTCTGGCCACTCCATAGTGCAATCTCTTATCCCTCTCCAGGTCACAGCTCCCACAGAAGTATTACTGGTGGTTCTTCCAGACTATTCCAGGTGAGACCACTTAGCAGGCAGACTTGCACGCCCGTGCCCAGGATGGGCAGCCCTCTGCCCAGCCCAGGTGGAGCCCCTGTGGGGCTTCCCCGATTCCCCCGTGGGGTCTCCCAACCCCTCCTCTCACAGGCATGACGGGGGTGCTGCTGCTTGTGATCTTGGCTGTGATGTATGTGTTCGCCACCCACTACTTCCGACGTGTCAGCTTCCAGGGCTTCTGGATCACCCACCACCTCTATGTGCTGCTCTACATCCTGGTAAAGCATTTGGGCTGGGAGGGAGGGGTGGTGCCCAGCTGATGAGATGAAATAGCTGGGGAGGTCCCAAGGGAGCTGGTGGCCCCAATCCCAGCTCCCCACTGCTGCTAAGCTGCCATCAAGTCAGCCACAAGGTGATGGCCTGCCGTGCTGAGTGTGGTGCTGATGGGGGCTGCTCCCTGCCCAGGTCATCATCCACGGCAGCTATGCACTGATCCAGCAGCCCCGCTTCCACATCTACTTCATCATCCCAGCTCTCATCTACAGCGCGGACAAGCTGCTCAGCCTGAGCAGGAAGAAGGTGGAGATCAGCGTGGTGAAAGCCGAGCTCCTGCCCTCAGGTACCACAACACCCCTGGCCACATGGTGCCAGCTCATCCCAGGCTCTTCACAAGACCATCAGAGGCTGCAGCAATGGAGGAACCTCCACCACTCAGTGTCTCCACCTTAACGAAGTCCCCATCCCCTCCCAGGTGTCACCCACCTCCAGTTCCAGCGGCCGCAGGACTTTGACTACAAGTCTGGGCAGTGGGTGCGTATCGCCTGCGTGGCCCTGGGCACCACCGAGTACCACCCCTTCACCCTGACCTCAGCTCCACATGAGGACACGCTGAGCCTGCACATCCGGGCTGTGGGGCCCTGGACCACCCGCCTGAGGGAGCTCTACTCCCCAGACAGCCTGGCCCTCATCGGCAAGCTGCCCAAGGTGAGCTGCTTCTCCAGGAACAGGTACATCTGAGTGCGAGAGCATCTTGGCAATGGGTTGTGCCCATCCCAAGGCACTTCTCCAGTCTTGAAGGCAGCCAAAACCTGGGCAAGCAGAGGCAGGACATGCTCTGCTGATGGCTGGCTCCCTTCCAGCTCTATCTGGATGGGCCCTTCGGGGAGGGCCACCAGGAGTGGAACAAGTTTGAGGTGTCGGTGCTTGTGGGAGGAGGCATCGGGGTGACACCCTTCGCGTCCATCCTCAAGGACCTGGTCTTCAAGTCATCTATAAGCTCCAAGCTGCTGTGTAAGAAGGTAAGAGAAAGCATCTGAAAGATAAGAGCCCTCCCTAGATGCCTCCTGCTGCTGCTGGCCACTTTGTGGGGGTAAAAATCCTCTGTGATCCATCTGGGTAGAAGCGTTATGGACAAGCATAAGGCTGCTGGCCCCACTCTGGGTCTCATTCCCATGTCACAGATCTACTTCATCTGGGTGACACGCACGCAGCGGCAGTTTGAGTGGCTGGCGGACATCATCCACGAGGTGGAGGAGGTGGACAGGAATGACTTGGTCTCTGTGCACATCTACATCACGCAGCTGGCCGAGAAGTTCGATCTGCGCACTACCATGTTGGTGAGCCTGACCACCCACCAGGGAGGCTGTCATGCTGGGCTGGGCCATGCTGAGCCGTCTTCCATGCACTGATCTCTCTTCCAGTACATCTGCGAGCGGCACTTCCAGAAGGTGCTGAACAAGAGCCTGTTCACAGGGCTGCGCTCCATCACCCATTTTGGGCGCCCTCCCTTCGTACCCTTCTTCAACTCACTACAGGAGGTGCACCCTGAGGTCAGTTCCCAGCTGGGGACAGGAGGAGGGGCACCCACTGGCCAGAGTGCAGGACTGGTCCCAGCCTGTCCCCGAGGCCCTGGAGACCTTGGTGGCATCCACACCAAGGGCAGGGCAGAAGGGGCATGAACCCCACCTTCTCTCTGGAGCCAGGATGAGCTGCAGGAGTTAGCAATGCCCCATACCAGCCAAACACCCACTGCTATGGTGAGACCCTGGCTGCAGCCACTGCCCAGAGCTGGCAGAGACCCTGGGGGATCCCATCCTTCCTCCATGGCCTCAGCAGCTCCATGGAAGGTGACAATCTCCCCAAAAGCCTCCTCAGGCTGGGACAGACTGCTTGGTCAACATCCATGCCCAAGGCTGCCTGAGGGCAAGGGGCCAAGGGGGCTGGGCTGGGGACAGAGCTGGTGCTGCTGGGTTTGACCCCTTTGGCTCCCTCCTTCCCCAGGTGCAGAAGATCGGGGTGTTCAGCTGTGGCCCACCCGGGATGACGAAGAGCGTGGAAAAGGCTTGTCAGCAGCTGAACAAGAAGGACCAGACCTACTTCGCACATCACTACGAGAATTTCTGACCCTACCCCATGCTGTTTCACCCCCAGGCTGCAGTCTTCATTGGAAATGGGAGTTCAACCCCAGCACCTGTGCAGCAATGCTTTGGGTGGTCGTGGTCCTGGGCTCCCACCCACCACCGTCCCCAGAAGAAAGCCAGTCATGGCTGAGAGCATGGATGCTGAGACCCGCAGAGCTGAGACCAGCACACGCTGCACCTGTAATGCATTGCCATCCCAGCATCACCCCACATAGCCCTAGGGCAAACCCCTGCACCCAGGGCATCCTTCTACCACCCACACACTCCTGTAGCCCCATGCTCAGGGTCAGGCTGGCATGCCCCAATCCAGAAAACCCAGTGTTCCAGTTAAGCCCAGCTCTGCCACCTTAATCTTGAAACACAGAGCTCATGCTCTGCCGCATGGCTCGGGGAATGACTCTGATCAGCTTGGTCCCTGCACAACCTGAATTCACAGAATTTTGCCCCAAGACCTGGGTGGCATGCACATCGGGTGAGGAGCCAGAGAGCTCGCCACTATCCCTCTCCTTTAAACAGGCTCAGCTTTCCTGACACACTCATTTATGCCTGCTCATTAGCACTCTGAGTCTCCCTTGGGTTTGCATAAGGCCTTAGTTGGGTTTGCATTGGCTTCTTTCAACAGTATCCCTGTCCTTCGATAAGGGATCATTTGTGCTGTTTAACTAATGCCTGGCTTTGCATCGCTGGCTGCCACTCTCGCAGGCTGTGACTGAGCTTAAATAAAGCTGATGATTGAAGTTTTAAACCACTTTCTTGCCTCCTATAGTTGGGTCTCGTCGCCTGGAGCCTTGCAATACTTGTGGCTTAGTGCTGGCCTTGCTCCTGTTACAAGGCATTATGCCAGCCCACTGGGAAATGGGTTAAACAGGAGGGATTTGAGCCCAGGCACAGCCCCACAGACTGTGTCCTACCAGACCCATCACCCCCAGCAATGCCCCTACAGTGGCAATGCCCCAGCGAGAGCTGGCGTGGGAACAAATTACAGCCAAGGAACCCAAAGAGGCTGAGCTGTGGGACTAGCTTCAGCCCTCGGGGTGTTAAGCAGCCCCCCAAGACCACAGGGAGTAGGTCTCCATTTCCCAGTATTAACAGGGTCTTGTGCCGGCCTGTGGGCCCCCAGCACAGGAGCCCCACGGCTCAGCAAGAAGCCCTGGCTCATACCCACTGCTGAAAGCTGGGCTGCCTTTCCCTCCCACAGCCATCACACACCCTTCAGCAAGGTGCATTTTAGCAATTCTTGGACGGGCTCTGCTAACACCACACGGGATCATGGGGCCAGGCTCCCCAGTAGGTTTTAACTGCTCAGGCTGACACATCAACAAGCTGGTTTACTGTGAGCAGTACTCTGACCGCTTCTCCTTCTGGCTACAGAAAGTTCCCTGGGTTATGTCTTAGCCCTGTAAAACACAGCACGGACTTGGAGGCTTCTACCTCTGCCAAGACTAACTTAGCCACCTCCGCAATAAATACAAGCTTTGATTTGCAAGCGGTTGGGTCATTTAAGGTTTCGTGGTCCGGCCAGCACAGAGCTCACCTGCTGCCTGGCAAGACCCAACAGAGCAACAGCCCAGGGATCTGCAGGGACCCAGAGTCATAGATCCCTTCAAACCACCCACCCAACACTTTAACGGACACAGACACATCAGGTAGGTAGCATTTATTGAGGAAAGGTCAGTACCGGCCCAAGAAAGGGACTGATCTCTCAGTACAAAAATTAACATGACTGCAATCAAAGATTAGATTTTGTTATCTGCAACCTGCTACCTGG